TTTACCCGAATCAACATGGTAACTGGGATGGTGGCATTCTTCTCATCGATTGGTGGATTTGAAACACAGACAATAAGTACGTTATTTTTCCCTGTTCGGGTACACGGCATATTGGGTGGAATCAGAATGTTCAGTAATATGTTGCCTGCATTTAAACAAAGAAAAAAATAAATAAAAAACATAAAAGCTATAGCTCCACGAAAGGAGTCCATAATATACTAAACATCAACTGCTGAAGCAACTTCTATTTAATGGATCTAAAATTGGGAGCCACAAGAAATGTCACAAAAACAGGCACTGGTTCTCCGATACAGACGCCAGCGGAGGCCCTGCCTTGCTCAGAACCTTCAGCCCTCTCTGAACACTGTACATTCTTGCATCTATGGAAGAACACATTAGTATGACCTGGAGTCTTCACTGTTACATGAACAAAGGATGAGTGGTCAGCAAAGAAACATCTCGGTCAACAGAGGCCAGCACGCTCGCTGGGCAAGAGTGACATTACTGTGATATCATCACAAGTTAGTCAAGCCCATGGAAAAATGCCATCTAGGAGTTTCCTTCTGCAACACACCCGATGTAGTCTCCCACTACTGCCCACGTCCTCTCAGGCCTGCTCCTCCCAGCACTGCTATCCTTCCAGTGGACTGTTAAAGAGTAAAACGGGGGGTGTGGCGCGGGGGGTGGGTGGGAAACAGTATGTTAGTGATTACTTGCTGTATAAAAAAGATTCCTTTAAATGGTAAACTCCCAACTTATCTCTACCTTCTTAGTCATAATTTCTAACACAAAGGAAAATGAAAACCATTTTGGTTATAGCTTTTAACATATCTGTTTTTGTACATACTATTATCTTGGCACTGAAAACTAGTCTATAAACAGTAAACATAGGATGAATTTGGCCTGAGTTATCTTGCTCCATTCTAAAAAAACACGTAATAAACTTGAAAATCTCAATGACGTAAATCAGCAAGATAAAAAAGCTATTATATACTGTGTGATTATAATTATTTTGTGCCATCTGAAAAAAAGGTACCCACCTAAATTGGTGTCTGCCCGCACTAAAAGCTGTGTCTTCTGATTTGCTGTAGGTTTTAAATGCAGAGTACCTACGCCCTTCTCTTTAAATTCATTGTCTTTCTTGTAAAATAGTTTACACCTATAGAGAAAAATAACAGGCACAATCAGGCATTCAATGACAAATCAAATCACACATTTCTAACAACCCCACTATTCACACTTGTGCAGAATAATCTGCATTAAATGAGAGCAGAGGAACCTTCAGGATAAATCTTTTATTGATCCAGATTGATTGGTTCTGGGTAAAAACCAGAATAAGAAAATCTGGCTGGATATTCTAGAACCCCTCCCCACTTTTTCAAATCAAAATAGTGGGCCCTAGAAGTCATTTTTGTAACACTTTCTGAAACTATCTTTTCTGGAGTCAGTCAGAATCACAGCTCACCACGACTTACCTCCCTATCTGCTCCTCTGGCCCTGAGCTCAAGAGAGCTGATCTAGTCCTCTAAGGACGGGAGGAGATACAGGATAAACACCCTGTCTTACATCTCCCCACACTGCTTGTTTTCCCTTCCTATTTCTTATTTTTAAAATTATTCTTGGGGCTCCTTCAATTTTTGATCTTCCAAGATGTTCAAAAAAATCTGGAAAACATTCTTAGGCAGGGCCTAACTAAAGATAAAGTAATCTTGGGGCCGGCCCAGTGGCGCGCTGCTACAGTGCGCCACTTGGGAGTGCGGCGGCGCTCCCACCGAGGGTTCGGATCCTACGTGC